CGAGTTTGTACCGTGCATTTTGCATGGCTGCATCTGTAAATCCCATTGAAAATCTTTGGAATGACTTGAAGAGGGCAGTCTATCAACTCATGGCGATAGCTGGGTTCGAACGCCAGACCTCAGGCAGTTTGACTGAGCTTGAACAATTCTGTACAATTTTTTTTTTTTCAGAAATTTGGCTTTCTTTTTTACTTGGATGTTGCAAGGTACAATTTGTAAATAAAACTGGAAAAAGACTGATCTTAGTTGTCTTCTTTTTGGGCTTTAGGGCAACAAAAGGTAAACATTTTGAAAGGGGGTGGTAATTTCTATACCCACTGTATGAATAAGTGGGTATAGAATGATATCATTTTGAGAATGTGTTTGGAGTTTCTGATACAGCTCTTAAGTGGTTGAAGTCTTTCCTCACTCATCACTGTCACTTCATCTCACTTGGCAGATTTAATGTGAAATTTGACTCATTAAATTTGATATTCCTCAGGGCTCGATACTGGGGCCCCTACTTTTCAGCATTTACATATTTCAGATTGGTCAGCTTTTACGATCACATAGCCTCAACTACCACTTCTTTACTCAAATGATATTCAAATGTACATCCATAAAAAACCTGACACTAATGTCGCTGTATCTTTTATCTCCACTTGCCTCTTCAACATATTATTTTTTTTCTTCACCTGAACTGCAACAAGACTGAAGTCATGTTTCTTTGCATGCCCCATCAACTATGCAAAACTGGTACTGTAACTCTATCTGTGGATGGTACTCTATGTCAGTTTCAATCAAAGTTGAAGAACTTGGTAGTAAAATTTGATTGAGGCATGTGTAACATATTGTCAAAAGATCATTCTTCCACCTCAGAAATATCACCAGATTACATCTTTTGTTGTCTATAAATATTGACTACTGTAACACCCTACTTGCTGGGGTATCTAAATACACATTAAACAAGCTGCAGTATGTCCAGAATTCAGCAGCCAGAATCCTGACCAGGTCTATTTGCAAGTGATAACTCCTGGAGTCCTTGCACTGGCTTCCTGTCAGGTTTTATATCAACTACAAAATCCTCATGCTCACCTATAAGACTCTGCATGACATGGCACCTCAGTATCTGTCTTCTACTATTGTTTTACGCCCCACCTTGCAATCTTAGCTGTTCTAATTCTGGTCTACTATATGTCCCCCAAGCCCATCGACACTCTATGGGTGACAGGGCCTTCTCTTGTTTGATCATCTGCAATTTCATTTGAAGCTGCTACTATTTTGCATAAGAATAGATCTGTTGAAAGCCATTTTTGCCGTGCATTACTGCACGGAAGTTTAGATAATAGATGTAATTTTAAAAAATGTAAAAAAAAATTCCACAGGCAGTTGTCTTTTTTACATTAATGGTTTGAATGTTTGAAAGTTTGTAGTGTTTATCCCACAAAGTTATTGACATTTTGCAAATCATGTCACAAAAAGATATGTATAAATGCTAAAGAGAAGGTTATAAAAATATTCACAAATCACTCTCAACAAAATGCAAGACGTTTGACATCTCAAGGTAGTTTTGTTAAGATACTTAGTTTCAAATAATGAAAGTCTAACTTCATATGCCAATGTGTCTGTGGCACACTGAAGGCACATTCAGTGGTCTTATTACAAACGGTGTAATTGTCAAAGAGACAAGCAAATTTGCAAGATAATGCAAGGGTATTAAAAAGAGGTTTGATCAATCGGCAATCTGACCTGAGTATCAACATTCTTTATCACACTTCCTGCATCCTGTTTCTCTTGGAGAAAAGGTCCGGCATTACTATATTTAATACTCGTATAAATAAGCATTGGGATTCGGTGGATTTGTTATTTTAAAAAAATCCATGAACCTGCAGTACAATGATCACAGTATGAAGATCAAGATATTTAAAGGGAATAGACATGCTGTTTCAGTACCAACTGCCTTGGCTCGCAAAGAGTGAAAGGTAAGCAGATACCGTAGAAATATCTGATTACAGATTATATTTTAAATATATGGCTTTATTGATTTCTAAATTCTTGTTTTTGTTTCTTCATGGGCTGTTCTTCAGGAAAACACTGCATGCTCAAAGCAATCTTCCAAGACCATCAAAAAGAAAGAAAGCAGTAAGACAGATGAACATATAATTTTATTTTGAAGTCTGTTCTAAAGCAACACTGTAGTATGACTAGAATGACTAGCCTAGAAAGAATACAATTATTTCCTTTGTTTATTCTTTTATTTGTCATTGGCTCAGCTCTAGGCTACAGGCCAGGGTGTTTGCCTGTAAGAACTGGACTTGTGTGGAGACCTTCCTGGAGGAGTGTGAGCTGTCTGGCTTATTGTTGGGAAGGATCGGAAGGTTCCTGTTAAAGATGCAGGAAGCAGGAGACAGTATTTTTCAGCACCCAACCACCATGTTTACTATTGCTGAACAGCCAGTGAAGAGTGTCTGACCCCACCTAGCAGATTGCAGTATCCAATTGAATGCATGTCTCTACACTGCCCTGCACTGCTAGCACCACACGTATGATCTCCATGCACACCAGGTCAGGACAGGCCATCCTTATCTCTCTGCTCACCACTGCTCAAGAATTGGGAGATGTTATCCCTGTTGTCTCTCTCCTGTCAGGAAGACCATCAAAAAGGACTATGTGACAGCAAAATTCACCAATGCCAAGACTGTGTACAACTCTCCCAGATATATACAACTTTTAACCAAAGGTCAAGAGAACAAGGAGATATGGTATGTGGAACACACTGGTATAGATAGGAGAGCAAGATCAGTTAAGCCGCTCTTCTTTTTTGGATCTTGGTGACTTTTAAAACTTAGTGGGAATAAGCCATATATTTGACAGCTCCAGAGGCTAAGAGGATTTGCTTAACTTTATTGGGAAAGGATCAGACACATGGTGAATCGAAGATTCACAAAACATCAGATGATTGGAAGAGGATTCATGATTGGATGAACAAGTTGCTCACAACAAAAAAAGAAACTGATTTCCTTTGATTTAATAATGTGTGAAACAATTAAATAATTTGATTAAACACGGGAGTATGATGTTAATTTTTTGTGTTAATGAAAATGGAAAAAAGTTTTCTAATGTTTATTTCAGTTTCATTCTATCATTTATGTCATGCCCTGTACTCCTAGAGAGTCCTCTACTTCTGTCCTGTTCCTAGTTATCTGTGATTATTCATGTCTTTCTGGTGTGTCTTGTTGTGTAGCCTAATTACTTCCTGTGTCTGCTCTGCTCCAAGCTCAGCAATGAGGGAACAGATGTCGTGAGACCCTTCTATTACCAGGTCATCCCACGTCTGTGGCCTGAGGGCACAGGTTTCTATAACGACATCGTCCAACGCCCTGAGCCTGGGCTAACCTCCATGTTGCCCCTTTTACCACTACGCATTGGGTCATTACTGCTCTCCTTGTCATTCCAAGGCATACCTTTCGGACATCTGCGACAATTTAGATTTTTTAATTAGCATTAAGACAATATAAATCATTTACCATCTCCCTTACCAAGGAATCACTATTTTCATTAAATCTATTTGATGGCATTGACTAATGTGCTAAGAAATGTTCTGAAAGCATTTTAAAGCAAACACCATTTGCTTTATTGCAAGACTTCATTGAAATCACAGAACTGATCCAAGATGTCAACACACTAAAAAAGAACTGCACCAGTAACAAGGAATAACATATTTTAATGCTGAGTTATGGCATTATAAACAGTATCTACAATGTATTCTGTTTGACTGGTTTGTTCTGTAGAAAGTAGCGATTCTAATGCTTTTGCCAAGAAAGCACCTGTTTTTTTGGGGTTAGTGATCTCACTCAGCCCTACTACAGCAGCACAGGAGTAATAAATTCTCATAAGTCTCATTCATCACTGCTCTGTTAGTGCCAGTTCGTGCTATTGAAGTAGCTCAAAGTAGAAAGAATGCACTAATGGGTTAATTAACATTTACTTGAATACTGTTACAATTTGTGTTGTGGTACAAACCTGGAGGTTTTACAGAGCAGTGCAGTCTGAGTTCAGATTATTCAAAAAATAAAAACGGCGACATGTGGCGCTGTTTGTTAAACTGCAGTACTTGTTTCAGTTTACTGCCTGTCACCTCACACATTTTAAATGGCTGCATCTAATATGCCAAATGTCACTGTAACGTAATACTTAATAAGCATCTTCAAATGCATCTAATTCTTGGGTAGAGTTATACTTCATGAAATACATGATTAATTGAATTTAAAGCATATTATTCAACAATACCTGTGTTCAACACACTTGTAAATGCTGCTGACGCAAACATATCTGCTACTCTTTTAACAATATTTTAAAAATTTAGATATGAGTTAATACTGACATACTAAAATCATGAGTTTATATAAACATATATATTGAAGATATTGAAGTTAAGTTTAATGTTTTGATAGCTGACATTCAGCAAAAATAATACAATCTATTATTATTAGATTAGATAAGATTTGAAATTAAAAACAGGCTTTTTCTTATTTGATTCTCATGTACTTAATTTTGTCAGTCTCATAGACTAGTAAAGAAAAAATCCACATAGCTCTTTAGGTTATAGAAAACAGGAATTCTTTCCCCTGACTATAACTTTGTCAACACACTGAAGAAACATTATGTCATGCAGAATGGTAGTTGGAACTCCAATTTTATTAAATTTAATTTAATTAAAAATCATTCAGATTACAATTATGAATAATAATGAGAAATGTCTTAATCATGGCATTATAGACAGAGCATGAGACTTACACAAGGGCAACTTCCTTGACACTCTTCTTCAGAAGGCAAAACATCTAATATTACTGGGCTGTAAACTTCTATATTCACCAGTGAATAGTAAGAGGTCCTTTATATATTTCAGAGAAAGACAGAGAAAGGGTTTGTCACTGCAGTTTATACAAAAGTTAGGAGTTCTCCAGGAGTATCTGCGGTACCTACTATCACAGCAATAAACTATTATTTTGATGTTGCAGTTGTTGGCTGTCCTATGAGAGAGGGTTCAACTGGAGTTTTCATGGTCCTGTTAGCTTCCTGATCTCTGTAAGTATGATACCCTATATTTATTAATTTCAGTGAATTTATGTAAATGAAATTCCAAGTTAAAAGAGATTAAATATAGAAACAGGAACCAGTTTTAAACCTTTAAGTTTCTCACAGTAAACAAAATGGTGCTTTAAAATGGTAAATCAACTAACACAAAACATTCCAAAGCCATACACATATTATTGCATTATTAATTGCATTATTATTGCAATTCTCCTTCTATCTAGAACATTAATTATACATTTCCTTCCTTTTTAGATTATTAGATTATTCTTTATTGCCACACAACAATAGTTGTTGGAATTTGCTATCGAAACAGCAAGAACACAAATACAATATAAACAGTACAAATTTAAATAGGATAGAAGACAGACAAACATTGTCACATACATATGTAAACAACTTTCCAGCATTTTAGCAGCATAAATTATACAATAGAATTCAGAGATCAATGTGAATTCAGAGTTCGTATGACAGCAGGAAAGAAGCTGAGGTTGAAGCTGGAAGTCCTTGAGAGGAAGGGAAGGGAGAAGCTGAAAGAGATTATGAGCTGGGTGAGGGGTCTGAGATGATTTTCTTGGCACAATTGGAGATGCAGCTTGACATGTGTTATGTGATAAACAATGTTTGCAGCTTTGGACACATTCTTTTAGAATTTACCTTTTGAGTAGTTATCCAAGCTCCAATACCAGACTGTAATAGAGGTTGTCAGAATGATTTCCCTGGTTTTACAAGCATTGAGTAGAAGGTCATTGTCCTAACACTAGGCTCTTCCCAAGTCAACCTGCTTTCGATAACAAGTCTCATCATTATTCCCAATGTGGCCATCATTGGTAGTGTCATCTGCATATTTGAAAATCTTGACAGAGGCATCCCGAGATGTGAGGTTGTTTATGAAAAGGTAAAAGAGCCATGGAGATAGGACACAGCCATGGGGAGCACATGTGCTGAGAATCAGAGGGCAAAATGTCTTGTTATTCACCCTGACAGTCTGTTGGTGATGTGGTAAAAAATCCAAAATTCAAGGACACATAGCAGGGTTGATGTTCAAGTCAACCCTGTATCTTCATGTTTTAGTGCTATAATTAATTGAAAAATAACAATCTTTGTTTTGTTTACATCAAAGTAATAGCGCAAGGTTATGCTCAGTGCCTAATTGTGATGTGAAATTTACCAATAGTTTTTAAATAAGGGTGTATAGCCATTTCATGCAAGTTATAAGGTGCATGACCAACAAGATCTAAAAGGTGTTATTTACGCAAAACAGAATTTCAGGTGGGTAGCTACGTCAGCATGCGTAGGCTGCAAAGGAACAAGTAAAGGTTTATTGCATGCTGAAAAGAGAAGAAAGAAAACACAAGGATGTTGTTAGTCCTGTCATTGTAGTACATATTCTCCCATCATGCTGTGTAAGCTTAGCATATCATATCGGCTTTTCCAATACTGTAGTTACTGTACTGTGACACTAGCAATAAAGCTGAAGTCATGTTGACAGAATACTTTGATAGTTCATAGAAACGCTACATTTGTCAGAGTGGTGGCTCTGTGGCTAAGGCTCTGCACCTGTGGCTAGAAGGTTGCCAGTTCAAATCCCACAGCTGGCAGAGGAATCCTACTCTGTTGGGCACCTGAGCAAGGCCCTTAACCCCAACTGCTCCAGGGGTGCTGTACAATGGCAGACCCTGTGCTCTGACCCCAGGCTCTCTCTCTATCTGTGTGTCTCATAGAGAGCAAGCTGGGGTATGTGAAAAGATAATTCCTAATGCAAAAAATTGTAAAGGGTTAATAAAGAGATATTATTATTTACAGATCCAAACTGCTTACTCCTTATCTCAAAAATCAGTTTAATTATATTGAAAAATGTTACTTCAAAAACGGAAATTTAGGAGTATGGCACAACTAAAAACTAATTTCAGTGTTTTCTTCATATTTTTTCATCTACATCTATTTTGAGTGGTATTATTTATATGTATATTATATTAAATATACATTTTATTTATATAATTTACATGATATAAATTACACAGAATGTGTTTGGTTTATGTCTCTATCAGTTAAAATGGGTTATTTCGTTATGATTTAAGTGAAAATGCACTGTACATCGCTGTTTTAATAGGTCTCTGCCATTCTATATCATATTCCTAAATGAACCATTCACAGTAGAAACAAACATTTACATGTATTGTTGTACTGTATCTATGTAAAGTATAAGTTATGGAAGAGAACGGCACGTAACTTCCTCCAAAGCACAGATATATTCTTTTTTTCTTATATTGTTCCGCTAACTACAATCTAGATACATTTTTAGGATGTTCTTATTTTTATACCCTTATTTCATTGATTGATATTCTATATCTCAAATCAAGATCTGTGTTTTTCTAAAGGTGAACATCATACTATTCACCATCATTTTATGGGCTTTGAGATCACAGCTTGGTTTTCTCAACACTGACATTTCTAGAGTGAGAAACACAAGGTAAATGTTATACATTTTTTTGTTATTCATCCCTAACTAAAGTAAAAGACCACCGCATCCATAAACAGTCCATATTGCTTGGTAAAAAAGGTGAACTGACTTATTTTACTCAGCAATGATGTGTTCTGTAAGTGGGTTCTTACATTCAGTGATCTAGTATTTTTGCAAGATTGTTGAAAAAGATGTAATAAGATTTAATATAACTGTGACAGGCCTACCTCTACTCAGGTAGCTCACAAGGCCTAGGAACATGGAAAAGCCCACAATGGAGAGAAAGTAATAGGTAATGTACAAGAACTATTTATACATAACCATGGTCCTACAACAGAAACACCTACTCTAATAACCTAACACCAACTATCCCCATGAATACATTTATTTACCAAACTTTTATAAACGAAACCTATGTTACCAATCATCCAAATAATTAACTACAGATGCAGCCATTCAAAATCCATGGTACAACCCCATGCCGCACAGAATTATCTATAGTTCACTGCGTTGTACCACCGTACGTGATTGGCTGGCCAAAATGACTGACAGGCGGCACTTGTGGTGCATTGGTTGTTAATGAAACGATTAATCGACTTAATATTGAGTATTAATATGGAATTTAACAACTAAAGGTAAATTTTAGTAGCTGAGCATAAAAAGAAGAGGAGCAAAATGCGTCTGAAGGCCATAAACGATATTAATTTAGGAACATAAACATATTAATGTATATAAACTGCAGATGGCTGGTATTGGTACAATAGCTTGAATTAAAAAAAAAAAACACACCAGTATTCCACTTTCTTCCTAAACATTTTAAGCATCAAAGTCTTTCATTCAGTTACAGTACATACTCTGGTTATTTTGCTCCTTCTGACTGTATTAAGTTTATATACTTCATAAAAAGTTATAATGTTTTAAACTTTTCTATTAATATTTGTGCTCATTATCGCAGTAAAAAATTAATAGGGAACAGAATATGGAATCGTGTATTTAAAGAAATTAATAACAATATAATTATATTTATATAGCTTTATATGATATGATATATTTATATGATTAACCTTTTTTATGAATACTTGCACTTGTTATTGCAGTAAAAAACCTCATAATTTTTAGAATCCTCTAAATAGGGAATATGATATGTAATTGCTTATCTAAAGCCATTAATAACAATATTAATTTAAGGATCTAAATAAATGTGAACCACTTTTTAATTAAACATTAAAAATACTTGAATTTAATAAAAGTTGTACTGATTTAACACCTCTTTATAGTAATATATGGAGTCATGTAACTAAGCAGCTAAAATATCACAAGGGGACATTTTGGAAACATCTGACATTTGTTTTTTAAAAATAATATACATATATATCATTGTCCTTATAGTGGTAATAGGCAATGGACTGTCATGTAGTGCGGTGAACTCAGGCGGTTCAAACCCCGATCAGAGAAATACTTTGTTTTTACATAACCGAATATATAAAAATAGTACACTATTATAGCTTGTTGTTGGCTCTGGTGTGAATTTGTGTATCTGGATAAATTAAATGATGGTATTGTGATTAAGGATTTCTTCACTAAATTCTTTAAGTGAAGTAAATGAGGGAAGAACAGTTATTTTTACAATTGGTACTCCAAGAGTCTGACTGATTTAATTCCCCTCATTTAGCTGAAACGGATAAAGAAATCATCCAGTAGTTAAATGTGTTGGAAGGCGCTCTATTTTATTAACAGACACTCTGACTCAAACCTGTGATTCAATTCAACTTTATTGTCATTAAACTTACACAGGTGCATAGTATAATGAAAAGTGTTTCTCATTAGTCACTCAGGTGCAGTATATAAATAGGACAGAAGATAAGACAATAGACAGTAACACAATAGCAATAACAGTAACATGTAATAACATAACATAAATAACATGTAATCAATTAATCAAAACTGTGCAAAATTCCGCAAACAGAGAAAATATAACAGGACAAAAACAGTGCAAGGTAATTCTTGGAATAGTGCAAAAATAGTATGGTTAAAAATAGTATGGTTAATTAATAAATATTAAATATTATTACGACTGGTACAGTTTTACTGGGCTATCGAGGGGACAGTACAATTTCGGCTTACATGTGTGTGTAGTGGTGTAGGAGTACAGTCATTGTGGATACAGGAAGACGTTAGGGGAGATCATAATATGGTGGGAGGGAGTGGGGTGGCATCACCAACTTGACAGCTCTGGGGAAGAAGCTATTTTGGAGTCTAGTTGTGTGTGACTGGAGTGACCGGAACCTTCTGCGAGATGGTAGGGGAACAAACAAGTTATGACTGGGGTGAATGGGGTCAGACATAATTTTGCTGGCTTTTTTCAGACTCCTGGTGTTGTACAGTATATTTCCTGGATGGGTGGTAAGGCACTGCCGATGATGTGTTGGGCAGTTTTGACCACCCGCTGCAGCGCCTTACGGTCGGATGCGGTGCAGTTGCCGTACCAGACTGTGATGCAGCTGGTCAGTTTATTCTCCACCATACATCTGTAGAAGTTGGTGAGGATCTGTGGATGTACAGATGCAGCCATTCAAAATGCTCGGGCGATACCGCATTATTTTGCGGTGTGCTTTACGCGGTCTACCGCGAGTTACCGTAAATTCTCCTATAATTACGCAATTAAAATAATAGTATCTGGAATTTCCGCAAGGTGGAGCTAGTAAAGCTCAACCTCTCATGTTTGAGCTGTCGCCATCAAAGTCTTTAACAAAGATATTACTAATAGTATTAATAATGAATGACCTTGGACAAGCTGTAAACAAAGTATTGGCTTTGTCCACGTTCTTTTTTTCATTGACCGTCTTTGTAAAAGTAACACCACAGCATTTCGCAATCAC